CACACACAAGTCAGAACTGGAGAGGCGAACCGTGACGCAAAAAACCTCGGAAGTTTGCCGCCGCGCGGGATTAAACTTAGCATGCAGAATTTTTAAAATCATTATAGCCGATAATTCGATTTTGATTGTCAATTTTGAACCTGAAGCCTTGTATTAATATAATAAGGTAACCCGTTGCGTTGTGCATCTGACGTCACAGCTGCTAGGCCTAGGCCTACACCTACATACTGCACACTTCCCGGGGCCCGGTAAAAAACCGTTGGTGCCGACCCCTTCCCAGAGCCGGTACTGGAGGCCTGGGGCCGGTACTGACACCTCCTTAGGTAGAACCGAAAGTTCTGGTACTAGGCTCCACTCAGCTCCGATGTTGCGTTTTCGGGAAATGCTCTTAATACGAATTTTCCCAACTTGCTCGGTCCGATCGGAGATGGACTTTATATTCGGCTGTCGCGTCTCTTTAAAAGTTTTACAGTGTTTTTAGAAGCGTTAAACCGGTAAAATTCCGTATCCTTTTTGTATTCATCATAATATCTGTCCATTACGAGGGAAAAAACCTGTTTGACAATCGCGCCTATAGCGACCCAGATTATGAGGGAAGAACCTGTTTAACAATATTACGCCTACTATGATGCAGATTATGAGGGAGGGGGGCAACCTATTTGAACGGGTGGTTGGCGGCAGCTCTGGTGTGGTTTGCTTCTTCTTTCCTATCAAATATCTATCGTCTTTATCTCCCCTCCTTTTTTTGTATTTGTTACTCTCTTGTAAGGCCTCTAATTTTCGGCACTTATATGACCTTATTGTGTTGCATGTGCCGTAGAACACTTACTAAAATTAAACATGTTTGACAGTATAAAGCCCACTAGGATGCAGATTAGGAGGAAAAAAACCCAACCTGCTTGACAATAGCGCCTATAGCGACCCAGAATGTGGCGATGGTGCTGACGAGCAGGGCCGAGAGCGCGCCTTTGGAGTTGACACAGGGAAAGAACATGCCGAGGGAGAACAGGCCAAGCAGGGGACCTCCACCCGCACCCAGGGCCGTCAGCATGATCTGTGGGGAAGAGGGGTGGGGAGGGTGGGAGGGGGGAAGTGGGGGTGAGTGTGTGAGA